GCGGTACGGTGAATGTCCTATCGTCCGACCTTGTATGCTGGATTGCACTATTTCACTATATTAAGGGGAGAGGGCGCCTTCACACACATATTCGGTGTGAAATATTTTCCGCCCACAAGCGGAGCGCTTCGGCGCCTCTGCGAAGCAAAGCGCGGCATTCAAAAACAACAACCAAAATTGCCGTCGCTTCCCTGCCCTGCAATGGCTGGAGCAGAAGGAGAGAGATTTTAGTCTCATTGGATCAGAGGAATGGCAGTGGAGCGGGCTTATGGGGCGTAGGCTCGCGATCTATCAATTACACTTGCCAGGTCTCTCTTCCGTTTGGACATTATTTACTCCGTCTCTCTCTCGGCACACACGTCGCCACCCTACTAGTTTCCATCACAGCTGTCTGCTGTCTGCCCAACTTAGCGGACTTGCGTTGGCTGATCAACCCGTCTTCGCGTCTGTGCCGGCCTTCAATGCAGCGCCCAACCGTCTCTTGACCGAGATTCATTGCACTATTCCACGCGCAAACGGCTACCCTAAATGTGCATAGACAACGCTCATGGTTCAACACGACCAGGGCGCAGTCTGGGAGCCGAGTATACTAAAAAGAGAGTTTAGCAGCCAAAACTCGTCAAAGCACACGTTGGGTTACCCCATCACCTAACAACGATGATGGCGGTTCCCCCCCGTGAAATACACAACCTAACCAATATTGGGCGACGATGGCGCTCATGAGCCCACGTCCCCACAAACAGTAAGAGAAAGAGAGAGAGGAGGAGATGGGCCAATGTCTTATGCCTCGCTGGGGCAAAGAGAAGAGAAGAGGAGCGGATAAGGGAGGAGATTGGCCAACGTGCGGTCCCTCGCCCAATGTCGGCTGCCTCGCTGGAGCTGGGTAAAGAGGAGAGGAGCGGATAAGGGAGGAGATTGGCACACACGGTGGCGCTGCCGGCGCCGAGGATAGCAGAGAAGGTGCAGTTTGATCTGATCATCTGGTTTGCTATTTCTCTAAGGCCAACGTGCGGTCCCTCGCCCAATGTCGGCTGCCTCGCTGGGGCAAAGAGAAGAGGAGAGGATAAGGGAGGAGATTGGCACACACGGTGGCGCTGCCGGCGCCGAGGATAGCGAGAGAAGGTGCAGTTTGATCTGATCATCTGGTTTGCTATTTCTCTAAGGCCAACGTGCGGTCCCTCGCCCAATGTCTTCTGCCTCGCTGGGGCAAAGAGAAGAGGAGCGGATAAGGGAGGAGATTCGCCAACGTGCGGTCCCTCGCCCAATGTCGGCTGCCTCGCTGGAGCTGGGGCAAAGAGGAGCGGATAAGGGAGGAGATTGGCACACACGGTGGCGCTGCCGGCGCCGAGGATAGCAAGAGAAGGTGCAGTTAGATCTGATCATCTGGTTTGCTATTTCTCTAAGGCCAACGTGCGGTCCCTCGCCCAATGTCTTCTGCCTCTCTCTCAATCTCACTATTTTGGCCGCCGTGATAGGCGCCGCCAACAGCAGCAGCTACCTGGTTGATCCTGCCAGTAGTCATATGCTTGTCTCAAAGATTAAGCCATGCATGTGTAAGTACAAGCCGATTTAAGGCGAAACCGCGAATGGCTCATTAAATCAGCTATGTTTCATTGGATCTGTAAACCCACTTACTTGGATAACTGTGGCAATTCTAGAGCTAATACATGCAATTGGTCTCTGACCGCAAGGGAAGAGCGCTTTTATTAGTTCAAAACTGGTCGGGCCCCGGTCCGTAACCCACCTGTGGTGAATCTGAATAACTTCGGGCTGAGCGCACGGTCTCCGCACCGGCGCCGCTTCTTTCAAGTGTCTGCCTTATCAGCTTTCGATTGTAGGTTATGCGCCTACAATGGCTATAACGGGTAACGGGGAATCAGGGTTCGATTCCGGAGAGGGAGCCTGAGAAACGGCTACCACATCTAAGGAAGGCAGCAGGCACGCAAATTACCCACTCCCGGCACGGGGAGGTAGTGACGAAAAATAACGATGTGAGTCTCATCCGAGGCCTCGCAATCGGAATGAGTACACTTTAAATCCTTTAACGAGTATCCATTGGAGGGCAAGTCTGGTGCCAGCAGCCGCGGTAATTCCAGCTCAATAGCGTATATTAAAGTTGTTATGTTAAAAGCCTGTGAAGTTGATCTCAGTTCCGACTGACGCACCCGCCCGTGTTTACTGTCACGCCCCGAACAGTTGCTTCACTGCTCGCACGGGATGTTTTGTCGAAAGTGTCCCGAGTGGCCGGAGAGTTTACTGGAAAAATTAGGAGTGCTCAGAGCAGTTGGCTTGGAATGGCCCGGAATGGTGATGCAAAATGGAATAATGGAATAGACCTCACTTGCCTCTTGTTGGTTTTTCGAACCAGAGGCAATGACTAATCGGAACAGGCGGGGCATTCAGACATACGCTTAGAGGTGAAATTCTTGGACCGTCGCAAGACGAACTACTGCGAAAGCATTTGCCAAGGATGTTTTCATTAATCAAGAACGAAAGTTAGAGGTTCGAAGGCGATCAGATACCGCCCTAGTTCTAACTATAAACGATGCCAACTAGCGATCCGCCGGCGTTATTCCCATGACCCGGCGGGCAGCTTCCGGGAAACCAAAGTCTTTGGGTTCCGGGGGAAGTATGGTTGCAAAGCTGAAACTTAAAGGAATTGACGGAAGGGCACCACCAGGAGTGGAGCCTGCGGCTTAATTTGACTCAACACGGGAAACCTCACCAGGCCCAGACACCGGAAGGATTGACAGATTGAGAGCTCTTTCTCGATTCGGTGGGTGGTGGTGCATGGCCGTTCTTAGTTGGTGGAGCGATTTGTCTGGCTAATTCCGATAACGAACGAGACTCTGGCCTACTAAGTAGTCGACGGATCTCCAGAAAATGGTGTCCAGTTCGCAACTTCTTCTTAGAGGGATACGTACCTAGCCTAACGAGATTGAGCACAACAGACCAGATGTCTTCTTAGATGTTCTAATGCACGCGCTATTAATTGAAGGCGTGGGGGAATAACGAAGCTCTCCTGAGAGGAGCGGTAAATTGTTCAAAGCCTTTTCTGATTGGGGCTTGCAATTGTTTCCCATGAACGAGGAATTCCCAGTAAGTGCAAGTCATCAGCTTGCGCTGACTACGTCCCTGCCCTTTGTACACACCGCCCGTCGCTACTACCGATTGAATGATTTAGTGAGGCCTTCGGACTGGCGCTCTTGGATTGTCGGCCCCGTTGCCCGCGAGGGTTTTCTGGGGTCGTCGCCTCGAGCTGACGGGAAGATGTCCAAACTTGATCATTTAGAGGAAGTAAAAGTCGTAACAAGGTTTCCGTAGGTGAACCTGCGGAAGGATCATTAACAGAGAGAAAGAGAACGGGGCGCTCTTAAAACTACTACTACTCTCCTGATTTGGGCGGTCTCGGGCTCTGCTCTGGCAACTCCAGCAGCGAAAGAGGACAATCCCGGCCCCCGCACCAAAAATAGGTACCACCACGCTGTAGGTGGACCACACTCGGGCGAGAGCGCGAAGACCGGAGGAGGAGGACGGACGGGGCTTTGGACGGCTGCCCGTCCGTTCCTTACTACCGGCGAATAAGCCTCTTGACCCAAAAAGAGTGAAATTCAAGTGTCAAAAACAACAACAAGCCGTCCGGCCAAACCCAAACCACAAACTTGGGCTATGTCTGTCAAACCCTTTCATTGAGACTCGACCTGTGATGGTTAGTCGCAAAAAGACCAAATGGCAAATACACAACTCTTAACGGGGGATCACCGCCGGGGTCGATGAAGATCATATAAATCAGTGTCGGTATGTGAATCGCAAGAATACCAGATACACTTCAGCAAGTTGAACGAAGATATTGCGGCGGCGTAGCCATGAGCTTGTCGCCGCCATTTTCACGAGGGTCGGAAATATACATCCATCGTTGCTGCGAAGTTCGGTGCCTGCTGACCGTCTCCCACACGCAGGGTAACCTGAACCGAGCTCTGCCTTACGACCGCCTGCGCCTTCAGTGCGAGGCGCGTCTTCAAAAACAAGCAAGCCTATCACTAGTGTAAGTCCATGGACTTGGCGCACCCACATTCAATTCACAACAAAGCGACAGTTGTCGCTCAGAACAATCGAGGCGGCGCTTTTTTGCCTGCTGTCCAGAGACACGAATGGCCGTCGGCCGCCGCGTATTGATGCTGCACACATACTTATGAGGAATTCCATCCTACCAAGAGGAAACGAAACCGGCCTGGATATCTTTAAGTAAGCCCGCCGGAATTTCGTCTATCACCGCGAAAAGAGTGCTTGGCATGCATTGCAGTGGAACCTAAATTGATGAGTGCGCCTGGGCCTGCAGTCTACCATGTAGTGGTGCAGGCAGAGAGATGAGAATGCTTGGGTGACGCAGTGCTCTTCCTCACGCGCTCCTCCACCCTCTCCCACGGTCAGATGCGGTGTGGGCGTTCTCTTTGAGAGTTCGCCACGAGTCCACGTCTATCTCATGACTGACAGGCCTGGGAGGGAGGCAGGGGGAGTTCTCTCTAAACACGTTAAAGACGGTGTTGCGCCTCATAACGGCGCTCGCCGGGATAGAGCACTAGTTCTGCAGCCGGAAAGGCCGCTCACGCCAATTAATACTGCGACTCTCGCTCTCTTTCTCCGGATAAACAAGTGCCACTGCTGTGGCATGCGGGAACGGGGAAAGAGGTCAAAGTTTAAGCGGCAAAGGTGCGGCCGAGTAAGGGCGGAACACGAGCGTATATGCATTAAAACTGTGTGTGTATATGACTCTGCGAGAGATGTTCTGCTGGAACACTTTTCCTATTGGCTATTTAACACTCAATGAGAAGGAACGGAGTCAGGGGTGGGAGTGCCGGCGCCATGGCCGCTGGTACCCCCGCGACAAGCCCCTCAAACCTTCCTGCCTGGTAATGTCGGTGGTGAAGAAAGTCGGTGGCAGAGCGTCTTCCGCTTCGTGGTTGGGGAACTTGTTCCCCTAAGGATGATGAGACCACGAT